ATGTTTTGTGTGTCTTACATGCAACAATCATATGTGTACTTTCTTTGAGAAATTCGAAGGGAAGTATATAGGATAGAAAGTTCAGATACAAGGTCAGAAAAAGGGCCAAAGAAGCATCCTCCAAACTTACTAATTCTATGGTTCAAATATCTATGGACATGCAAGGAAAGGGTTAACTGCAGACTAAGTAAAGCTGGGAAATTTTAGAGTGAGCACATTAGTTAAACAATGTGAAAAATCAGCAAAACTGGTTTGCTATAGCAGAAGTCTCCCTGAAATAGGCTCATTTACTTTTCATTTCTTCTGCTTTCTAGTCTCTTCTCTTTGAAGCAGCTCTTGATTAGTTTCTTTTTAATTGCCACTTAATTGGGAAATAAAATTAGAACACTTATTTGATATCAGTGATGAGGTTACTCTTCTCATTTCTTGTTTGATCTAGTTTTGAAAAGCCAAAAGCTGAAGGGGGAAATTAGGAAAAAAGGGCCAAAAAGATTTCTTCTCTCCAAGAGCTAGATGCAGTTATAAGCCATTAAATGTGGAACTACTCTTGGCGAATCTGAAGAATAAAACAAAAGCTAGTAAGGATAGGCTTTATGGAATTTTTGTTCAAAAAGCCCTTTCTTTTCTCTTAAGTTTCTTCATAAGGGCGAATATCTCATGATTAGGCAGTGAAGCAAACATAAGAATCCATCTTAACCTGTCCCCAGAAAGTAAGGGAGTTGGGGGGGGGAAGCACAGCAGGAGGGACCATTCTTAAAGGTCCTTGATAAGAGGTTTACCAGCATCTCAATGGCATTGATGACACCGCAAAATAAATTCCAAAAGAATCCTGGAAACAAAATAGTCTTAAAAGTTCTTTTCTGGGGCTTCCCCTGGTGGTGCAGCGGTTGAGCGCTGGGCTGCGAGGCTGCCCGCAGCCTCTGCAGAGCGGGTTCGTTCCCCGGCCGCTGGCGAGGGTCCCACCAAAAAAAAAAAAAAAAAAGTTCTTTTCTGTTCTCAAACACCCAACAAACTTTATTAGTACATTAACCCCAAATTAAAATCTACTGCCAGCTGATAAGGTTCATTCTTTAGTACTTGCTGGAAAGTTTTTTACTAAAAGCAAAGAAGCATATTAAACCATAGATGAATCATGAAGTGCAGGGGGAAGCAGCATAAAGATGGTCTTAATCTGACAGTTGCTCAGGGTATCATGTTAGAAAAGTAACTGGGGGGAAACTGCTGCCTCTTTTCCTCCATTGAGTGGACTTTTTTTTAAAAAGAGCTGACAGTAAAACTATAGACAGATGCACACATAATATACACACACATTAAACACACGTGTGCACATGTGTGTTTATATGTATATATGAAGTTTATGCTCACTAATACTATGGAAGAAACACATGACTAGAGAAGTCAAGAACTGAAATTACACACAAAGGATGTAAGAAATTAGCACAATTGGGCCTCCCCTGGTGGCGCAGCGGTTGAGCGCTGGGCTGTGAAGCTGCCCGCAGCCTCTGCAGCGCCGGTTCGATCCCCGGCCACCGGCGAGGGTCCCACATGGCATGCAGACCTCTCCTGCCGCGCTCACTGCTCCCCTCAGCAGTGTATTTCGTCAGTCTGCCTGTTCTGTTCCCCACTCTGGCTCTGGTGAATTCTCTCACCCTTCCACGCTTCTGACTGTACCCAGTGCTTGTATGAATAAATAAATAAATCTTTAAAAAAAAAAAAAAAGAAATTAGCACAACTGCATTTTCTATTACTTCAGCGCATGAATGTGGCTCATTTCACTGCTATAACGCACGATGAGCCCATCCTGAATGAAAGGCTTAAGAGACTATATTCAGTTTAGCCTGAACCATATTAACTGCTGTTGTGTATTACAGCATCAATAGCATTAGTGGATGATCTACTTCAGTTCTTCTACCACTTCTGAAAACATTTTAAATAATATTAAGACAAGAAAAATCTCAAGAAGCCAAAAAAATAGTGGTAAGCATCCACAACTAAAGGATTCTTCTACGTCTTTTTCTTTTAAAAAGATTTATTTTATTTATTTATGCATAAAAGAACTGGAGTGTAGACCAGAGGTTTCTTCCATAGTATTAGTGAGCATAAACTTCACATATACATATAAACACACTTGTGCACACGTGTGTCTAATGTATGTGTGTATTATATGTGTATCTGTCTATAGTTTTACAGGAAAGACTTGAAAAAAGGAGGAAGGGGTGGGGGTGTGTGAGAGGATTCACCCGAGACAGGGTGGGAAGTAGAACAGGCAGATCTACTGATATACACTGCTAAGGGGAGCAGTGGGTGAGAAAGGAGAGGTCTGCTGCGTCATGTGGGCTGGGGAATCAAACTCGTGCCGCAATGGCTGCTGATAGCTTGATAGTGCTGAGACTTTAACCGCTGTGCCACCAGGGAGGCCCCCCCTTCTTCTACTTCTGTGGGCATTTCGTAATAATTGTAATTACAATGAGACTTACTTGGGAGAGAGGGAAGTGTGTATGTGAAAAAAATCGGACATCCTTCCCCTAAAGCGAAGAGAAATTAAATTCCACTAACATTGTGCTATGAACTTTGACATTTGCCATTCACTCATTCAGCAACCACCAAGCCCCAGGCAGGTAAGGCAGAGACTAGACACAAAAGTTCTTATCATGATAAAAATTACAAAATATATAGTATGTGATAAGAGTGGGGAGGGCAAGGACAGGGAAGACTTGAAAAAAGAGGAAGGATGAAGGGTGCATTCTAGATGTTACCTCATTTAATTCCTACAAGTAGAGATTAAATAACTTTCCCCAAATCACAGGACTAATATGTATCAGAACTAGGCTTTGAATCCAGCTATGAATGACTCCAAAGTCTACTTTTTACCCACTGTGACACACATGCTCTCCCCAAAGCTGTTTCCTTTGACAATTAATTGGCAAATGTTGATTGCAGCAGAGATTCTAAGTGACAGAACTAGATTCTGTCCTCTAGGCTAGGTCCTTTACTTTTCACCTTCAAACTCATTTATACAAACTTCTAGATTCAGGATGTTAATAAACTTCATTTGTTCATCCAGATCATAGCCATTTACAAAAACAACAAGAAGACACCTCCAAAGTTTTTGGGTTTTCCTATAGCTAAAACAGAGAGCTTGCTGCCAAACTGTTTTGCAAAGTGATTCAGAGATTATGGGGAAGAAAACCAATTAAGAGCTACAGACAGTAGTCAGGGAACAGTTGAGCAGACTGAAAGAAAAGCAACCACACAAAGCAAAGAAAAAGCTGTGTTTTCACTTCTGAAATGACTTTCGAATTGCACAGTTCTTATCTATGATGGGGAGCTCTACTTAGAAAGGCTGTGCTTTCCCTTCTTGCTGTTCCTATTTCCTCTTTCTCAGCTCCTGTATTCTTAGGAATCTCAAACCAAGATAAGGTGTTCACTACACTAGAACTGTGTGCAAAATAAAATCGGGCTTACTTTCTTTTCTTCTATATTCCTCTGTTATTTTCAATGCTGGTGGAAGAACTTAAAGATTAGAACTTTTAACAGAAGGAATCATCACAAGCAGAGTAAGAAACTACTGAAGTCATGCTTTGTTCTCTCATTTCTACAAGATACCAGAATTTAAAAAAAAAAGGCTTATCCAACAACTTCAACCTTCAACCCTTACTTCCAGGACTCCTGCCAACACTGCAAATGAGAGGATGGCTATGAAAATCAGGCAACCACAGACTCATCTAAAATATCTCTCAAGACTTTCCATTGAAAACATATATGTAAATATAGATAGGCAGGGAGAGTAAATTTCAGTTCCAGTTATTGTAACAAGGTGAAGAAAGAGGAATGATAGAGTGTGGCTTAGAAGAGTAAAAAGTTACGGGCCTCCCCGGTGGCGCAGTGGTTGAGCGCTGGGTTGCGAAGCTGCCTGCAGCCTCTGCAGCCGGTTCGATCCCCGGCTGCTCCCCGGCCATCGGAGGAGGGTCCCACATGGCGTGCAGACCTCTCCTGCCGCCCGCTGCTCCCCTCAGCAGTGTACTTCGGTCCTTCTGCCTGCTCTGCTCCCCGCTCTGGCTCTGGTGAATTCTCTCACCCTCCCACGCTTCTGACTGTACCCAGTGCATGTATAAACCAAACAAACAAACAAATAATAAATAAATAAATAAATAAGACATGCCTCTAGAAAAATTAAAAAAAAAAAAAAGAAGAGTAAAAAGTTACTTGGGAAAAGAACTCAACACTCAATCACCTGATGCATTTCTTCTTCCAGAGAAACAAATAGCTACTAGTATCAAGACTCTAAATGAGTCCCAGTAGTGAATACAGGAGTTGCAGTATTAATCCCACCTCCAAACACTATCCAATAACCACTACTCAACTACTTGAAGCTTGAGGCGACTTAGCAAAGTTAACAAAGCAAAGATGATGGAAGATCTAATTACATGTTCGGGGAACTTATGGATTATGTGGAGCAACGGAAATGATGTACACGATATACATCAAAACATCCATCATACAGCAATTACGTGGGGTTTATAAGGTGAGTTTACATTTTGGGATTCTTTGGTAGTGATATTTTACAACATAATTATGGTTTCTGTAGCTTGATTAACTTGTTGAAGACGAACTGCAGCGATTATTCGTTTATTGCTAATCACGATGTCCACACTCTTCTACAAGTAACATCCCCTTTGAGCTGTACTGCTATCAATTGACTCGTGTGGTGCCATCTAAAACCATCGTCTCCTCGGACGCGCCTGAAGCACACGGGTGAAATATTACACAGAAGAACTTTTATATAATAAAAGTATTGAATGTCTCCGGCCATTAATACACTGAGCACCCACCCCGGCTAAAAGACAAAGACAGCAACCAATCGACAGGCAGGATCCCAATGTCTCAGCCAATAAGAGTACGGGGGTGGGGTCACACTGAGCTCCCGGTGACTTCCCCGCACCCCAAAGACCCAGGTTGTGGGAGACTGAACGGGAAATGGACTCCGAGGACATCGTTACCCCCGGTTGTAGCTGTTGTCCGCCTCGTTCTCGCAGTCGCTGCAGTGCTCATGGCCGTTTCCGTTCCCTTCCATCATCTGTGGCAGCGGAGGTGCCAGCGGCTTCACTGCTGTCTCACTCTCGTCCGCCATCTTGAGTTGCGAGAGCCGGCCTCCGCGCCTCGCTACATGGGGGCTTCCCATTGGACGAGGGAAGCTTGCGCTATATTCTGGGTTTCGTAGTTTTTATGGCTAAAGGAGCCGTAACTAGGAGAGGCTCCTTCCCGGGAAATTGGAACAAATGGACTACAATACCCAGAAATCATGAGAGGAGGCTGTCCTGGGCGGGAGCCAGCACTACCCGGAAGACCTGGGCGGTTCGGCAGCGCTTTGGTTAAAGAAGGACCGCAAGGTTGGTCCGGCCGACCCTCTAAGGCCCGGGCGGCCGCATGGCATGTTGGGAATTGTAGTTCGGGCTGGTTTAGGCTTTCGGACGTGGGGAGTCCAAAATCCAAGGTTTAATTTCAGCCTGCCCTTATGAGTGCCCGGGCCCGCAGGTGAGCCGTTACTGGCTGCCGTTAAGGACCGTTACCACTCCCGGGTGAGTAAGAGGGCCTTGAGGCCCGCCGGTGCGACCCACCGGGGGCCTGAATGCGTCGGGCCTTCTCGGAGGGATTCTTCCTGCCAGAAGTTAGATTAACTCCTGACCGCCTTCCTTACTTGGAACTCTGGGCGACTCCTGCTCGTTGGTAGTTCGAGGCCTCAAAAGAAGCGGTAGATCGTGGTGTGCAGAGCTCTTATCTTGCACCAGGAGACCTCACTGCTAGATCAGGCCTTGCCACTAATTGCCCCCTCTCCCCCCGCCCCCCAATACTAGTCTCCACTAAGCTCTTCTGCGCACATTGCCCTCTCATTCTCCACAGAAACCCTCCACAACTACTTTTCAATAAGTATTTATATGCCAGGCGCTGTGGTAAGGCTTCTCACACATCTCATTTAATCCTCTCAGCCTGTAGGTGGTTTTTTTTTCACAGATGAGACATGTGGCCCAGGTAGGTTAGTAAATTGCAAGTCCCGTAGCTGATAAGTGGCAAAATCGTTGTACAGCTATCAAAGCCCCATTGTCTGATACATCTACGCAAGGGAATCAGTGATTAGAAAGTAATGGGGGTATCTTAAATCAATTTTTAGCCTTGCCTGAATGCTTCAACACCTTGGGTCACATCTCTGTTTTTGGGTAATCTCGCCTTAGTCTTGAGAGAGTGCCTCAAGACCTGGTTCCCATTCTTAAAGATTTCCCATTCCATTTGGTACTGGTGGTTGGTGAGGGAAGGACAAATTCTTTTTTTTTTTTTTTAAGATGTTTATTTATTTATTTATGCAAGCACTGGGCACAGTCAGAAGCGCGGGAGGGTGGGAGAATCCACCAGAGCCAGAGTGGGGAACAGAACAGGCAGACCGACGAAATACACTGCTGAGGGGAGCAGCGGGCGGCAGGAGAGGTCTGCGTGCCATGTGGGACCCTCGTGGGCACATGGGGATCAAACCGGCGCTGCCGAGGCCGCAGGCAGCTTCACAGCCCAGTGCTCAACCACTGCGCCACCGGGGAGGTCTGGAAGGACAAATTCTTATAATGGGAATCCTCCATGTCCAAAAAGGGAAACTCTCAACTTGAGATGAGGAAAAAACACTTCCCATCTGACTTACGAAAACAGCAAAACAAAGCTAACTATAGTCAACTCTTCCATTTTATATCATTGCCAAGAACAGAAGTAAATATTCCAAACAGCAGATAATTCCCAACCATTTATATTTGACTTTGGAAGGGAGTCAAAGCCAAACTCAAGCTGAGGGCTGTCACCCACACTCCTCTCTCCAGGGTCAAGACTGCTGTGAACACACTGCCATGTATATAAATACAGCTTTAGGACAAGGGGAGGAAGTCAGATATGTTAATAACGAAGTCTTACATATGTTAGAGGAATTTAACTTTTCTACACCTATTGTAGTACATGTGACCTTGTGAAGTAGGTTGGGAAGGGGACTTGAAGAAAATTGTGCTTGGGAAAAAAACATCACCTTGACACATAGTTGCAGAGCTTGAGGGAAACCACATGTGGTATGCTAATTCCCAATACTGTATTTTCTTTTCTCACGGATATGCAGAGGCTGGATAAAGCTAATAAAACATGACTGAAGAAGAGTGATTATAGGAAATGAAGGGACTCTGCCTTCTTGCAGGTCAAAGCTTAAGTAAGATTCTCTGCTTTGTATTTTACTGCAAACTGAACAGTTTTGCTTAGCGGAGTGTCTTTTTGGAAGGTAGGCAGGCAATGTCACTGTCCCAACCAAGTTCAGAATGTATGTACGAGTCCAAAGTTCTGGAATCCAGTGTATCTGAGCATTTCAGGTCAAAAGGGACCTGAAAAGCACTTATTCTCTCTCTCAGGCTTTTCCAAGTTACTGTCCTTAGATTTTCTAGGATCCGTGATTTCCCATGGATCCATGATTTCTATTGTTAAATTAAAATTTTGTGGAAGTTGTTACATGTTCTACAATTAATATGTGGTTTCCTGAAATTCTTTTTTACAAGGTGAACATTCGCAGCTTTCTGAGTGCCTCATCACACTGGAATTACAGGATTCTCCCATTTAGCCCTTCTGGCTTTTCCTAACCACCCATTTTGGCAGAAAGTACAGTACAGCAAGTCCCAGATGGTGGCTCAGGGATGAGCCTGTGAAGCTCTGCAGATTCCAGAATTCGCTTCTAGTGTAGGTACCCGCATTATCCTTCCACAGGTGTTCCTGGAGACAGTAGGATATTGTGGTTAAGTAGTTAAGCAAACAGACTCCAGAGTCATTCTTCTAGGTTCTAAATCCTGCCTCTGACAGTGAGTGATCTTACCCAAGTCACTGAACCTCTGTGAGCCTCTGAGTCTCATCTGTAAGATGAGACAACGCATCCAGATTTTGGAGAAAGATACAACCAGCAGCCTGACTGGTCTAGGGGAGAATTTTTCTCTGAAGAACAGGGCTGGTGGGTTGAATTGTGATGTACAGGAAAGGGGATGCCCTTAAGCAGCTTCCTATCTCCCCTAGAGCTCACTTTCACAGGACAGGTACCCTTCCTTCTTAAGACAGCCCTTTGACACATGGGTTTGGAGCACAGGGGGCTCAGCCTTCTGCTTGGTGCTGTGGGGGTTAAGAAGGTGTGCCTGGCATCCTCTGCCTAGCAGTAGCACCAGTGGTGCTACTGCTCACTTCGTCTTGACAGGGGCCATGTCAATCTTCTCTAGCTTTCCAACTTTAGCAGGTGCTACTAAAGTGCTCACAGATGCACTAACACACTATCTCGTTTGATCCCCACCATCCCCACCATCAACTGCCTTGTTTCACTCTGCAATGAAGAAGGCAGGTGTGGGGCATCCCTGGTGGCGCAAAGGGTTAAGCACCACACTATGAAGCAATCCTCAGCCTCTGCAACAAGAATTCCCCCTGCTGGCTAGGGAGTAACCCACATGGGAGTAACCCACAGTAACCCTCCTGTCTTGTCCACTTCTGCCCTCAGCAGTGTATTTCGGTCAGTCTGCCTGTTCTGTTCCTCATTCTGTCTCTGGAGAATCCTCTCACCCCCGCATCTCTGGCCTGTGCCCCAGCTCTTGTATGCATAAATAAATAAATCTTTAAAAAAAAAAAAGAAGGCAGGTGTTAGTCCTGTTTTACTATGAGAAAACAAAAGGTTCAATGATTTGTTCAAAGTTTCACAACTATTGAATATGAGTTCAGACTTGAACCTGGTGTTTTAATAGCGTCTGGTGTAATAACAAAATTACCTTATTCCTTTGCCTCTTCCGGGAGGAGCATATGGTGAGACATGTGTCTGGAGCGGTGATCAAGGGGCAAGTCACAGAAGTCCTTAAGTGTCAGGCTTAGGAGTTTGGGCTTCTTAGGAGTTTGATGTCAACCTATGGGAGGTGGCTTTTTTTTTTCCTTGAGCTCTATAATAAAGGATAAATATTAATGGTATTTGTGAAGTATGGTATGAATTTAATTGCATATTAATATTTATTTTAAATAAACATACGCAAAATAAGTTTAATTTTAAGAACCTAGAGTAAAAGACCCAGGAGTCAAAGGAGTCGTCTGTTGGACTCAGAGGGTGGTTTCTCAAAGACAACTTGAAGCAGCACTATAACCCAGGTGGCATGCTAGGTGCGGAAGACACAGAGGTGATTGAGATGCAGATCATTGTCAGGGTGAAGTGAGATTATGTAAGCTGCTAGAGCATACTCAAAGTTTGTGACTGCCTTCCTGAATAATGGAGAATGTGTGTTTGAGCTTAAAACCCTCTTAACACCGCAAAGCTCAAGCTTTAATTCTGAGGAGGTGCCTTCATTGAAGCCCCTTAAGCTTTTTCTCTGGGCTTGTCCTGGAGCGGTGATGCAGCTGCTCTTAGCAGGTTGGGCCACAAGAAAGCCTACCTAGAAGGCAAGGCCCCATTTATTCTAGAAACAACCTGATAATACGGGGGAGGTACAGGCATTTTCCTATTCCTGACTCTGCCTTGGCCAGGGAACTGATGAGATTCTGGGCATCTCTCTGGTGTATCAGGAGTAGGGAAAGGCTAAGAGCCACAAACCTAAGTTATCTGTAATTTGTTCAGGTCATGAAGGGTCTGGAACATGAGATCTGACTCTGTGAAATAAGAATTACTTCTACAATGAATTAGAACCAGAGAGATATTTTCTAAGGAAGAATTTGCCATGACTGGAAACTGTCTCAAAAGCCACAGAGTTTCCTGGACTAGCCATGGCCAGGTGTAGACAGTGGTGATGTAGAGGAGATTCAAGCACTGGAAGGGTGCTTGGACCAAATGGTCCTTTTGGTCAAGAAGGGAAATCCTGTTTATCCACAGTACCGTTGATGTTCAGGAGAAAGGTTTCAGAGTGATCAGCGAAAGATGTCAGATTACTTCATTCTTTGATGTAATGGATCCCTAGTCTGCTGGACACTGTTGTAAGTAACTGGGTATGTTAGTCGGGAAGATAAACAAGATTTCTGCCATAAAGGAAGCAGAGATACAGTCTAGAGAGAGAGGGAAAGGAGACAGGGTAGGAGTTAATGAAGGACCACCTCCTATATGTGTGGCATCATTACACGCTTTTATCTATTTCCAATTCTTTCAACAAGTGGCGCTTGAATGGGAAGACAGGATGAGAGGCTAAGTTACTTGCTAGGCTTGTAGAACAGAAATAGGGCGCTGCCGCTAATTGACTTTCTAAAAGAGGGCAAATTGATTAACCTCTAAACATCAGTTTCCTCTTGTGTAAAATGGGCATGGTGACTGTATCCACCTCAAGGACTGAAGATTCAATGAGATAATGCCTCTAGAGTGCTCTTGGGAGCTGGGCATGCAATCGCTCAGTTAACTGCCGGAGCTAGCCAGCATGTCTATTGCCAGAGGCTGCACAGCTAGTGATGGTCAGGTCTGAGTTTGAAGCTAGGGGTCCCTGTGGTTTCCGCACCCCCACTCCCCCCACCCCCGCCAGCATAGGAAGGCTCGGGTTCTGATGAACCCAACCCCCCTCGCCCCGGGCCCGCC